CATAAAACACATACACAGTGGGCACCGTGCCTGGTGCCAAACGTGGCTTGGGACTTGGCACAGCAAGCCAGCTGGTGTCAGTGTCTTCTGTGAAATCCCTGCTCTTCTGAAAAGTACCCAAGGGTACCATTCTTGGTCTGCAGTGCCACAGCTGTTGTAAGGCATGGTGAGATACTGTTGGGTGGTATCTCTTAGGCGGTGCAGGAAGATCTTGCAGGGAAAACGAGCTGCTTCGATGCCGTAGTAGCTGCTTGCAGGAAGAGTGGCAAAACTTTTCCCTTCAGCTTTTCAGGGCTTGGTTAGTGATGATTCAGCACTGCACATGCTGCCACTTGCTGTGATAACTTGTTAACATTTGCTCTTAGGTCTGTCTGTGACTGGGAAGGCTGTTTGTTTTGTGGTACAGTTGTCTGCAATTCAAACTGTAGTAACAATAAAGTTTTAATAATAGAACAGGCTGTCCTACCCACAAACCTCAATTTGTCTAAAGAACTTGCTGTCTCAAGAGAGCAAAAGGTGCTTGGTTTTGCTCCTCCCTTTCCCCCAAACAGTTCTGTCAGGTCATAGGAGCAAGATTGGAACCCACCTGCAGTGGTTTAGAAGCCAAGTCAGAGCCATGATCATCATCTATCCTAGAGATACCTAATGCTGGTACCTTCCTGGCCACGCTAAATCTGAGCTAATTGCCAATTACTGACAGGGCTGGCACAGCGTGAGTAGTAACCATAGTACCCAGACAGTCAAGTGTTTTACCTTTCCAGAGGTTGGCACTTAATTGCCCTGTTGTTTCTTTGTAGTGTGTGGACAGGTGCCCTTAATGCTTCTAATTGTTTTGTCTCCTCTGGTGCCTTGTGCAGTGGTGCGTGTTGTGCTGTCCTGTGGTCTGGGATGCGGGTTTCTTACAAAGCAAACCTCCTCGGAGCGTTTTGGGTCTTAATGCACATACTTGGGTTACAGTTGCAGCTATTTGGCTGCTGCACAGGCACTCCTTAGCCCAGAATAGGGACAGCAACTGTCTCTAGCTGCTTAAAACTTCCTGGCTCAGTTCAGTCTGAAAGCATTAGCTTCCAGCTGATCTAGTATAATTTGTCTTGGGTGCACTAAAACCAGGGGGCAAAACCCCTTAGTGGTGCGGCGTTTTGAAATAGAGATCCTGCTGAGCAGAATTTAGTCTGGAGGGCTTCAGGTCCATCCTTCCTGGGGGGGGAGCACTGGGGATGATAGGAGGAAGAACAGCTTATTCAGTGCACGTTTGATTCCGAGCTGCCAGTGTGAGCACTGCCCTTAATCTAGATTGATTACTTAATTGTTCACTGTAACAATTCTGTAATGAAGTTCTGTCTGGCAGTGTGCTGGCTGGAGCTTTCCTGGTTGGCAGTGGCTTTCCAGGCAGTGCATGTCCTGTGTGCTTCATGCGCAGCGGAGCCTGTTGGCTTGGGAGATCTGCTATTTGGAAAGGCCCTTTTGGGAGGTCATAGTCAGCAGGATTTCCCGTCTGTCATTACCAGAGTAAAAGTGCTCTAGAACCCAGCATGCAGCTCATCTAGCAGAGGCGGAGGAGGAGGCAGAGGCGTGGGTTTTTGCCGAAATACCTGTCGTCCTGTTCAGGTGCAGTGGCTGCAAAGACGGATAGGAAACCTTGACATTGTATCGCAATGCAGAGTAATCTGTTTTTTCCTGAATGTTTTTGAACTGCTGTTTTCTTAGAAACTCTTTTCTTCATTTTGCCTCATTGAGGTAAATAGTGCTGAGGGACATGGGTTAGTCAGGGACTTGTCAGTGTTGGGTTAATGATTGGGCTCGATGATCTTAAAGGGCTTTTCCAACCGAGGAAATTGTGTGATTCTGTAAATTTAACAGACGTAAACACAGGTTTTCAGACCTTGCTGTCCTGCAGCAGGGTCATGTACAGGTACAAGCTTGCTTTGAGAGGGAGAGAACTGCTCTTCTGCAGTAGGATAACAGGGTCTTAGTGGTGTGTGAGGGAGTTATGCAGCCATCCTGACCACTTGTGTGCAGATCTGCTTCAACCGGTGCCTTGCTGGTCTCAACCTCTCTGCAACGTGATCTAATTTAGTGATCAGATCCTGACTATGTGCTTGTTTAAGGAAGAGGGAGATGAGCATGGGGTGCTGACTGTTATCTTCAATTAGCTGTCTGCCTAATGAACTACTTGGTTGGGTGGATTAGCTGTACCCCACAGGCAGCAGCATGCTGGCAGGGGCTGCCTGCCTTGGGGTGCTGGGTGCCCAGGGACGTGGGGTGACAAGCTGCCTCACTCCTTGTGCTCCAGGCTGTGGCAGCCTGGGATGCCATGAGGTGCTCTGACTGCCACTGCTCCCATGACAAGCTGAACGCCTACTATTTTGCTGGTTTCTGCAGGAATCAGTTAGTACCTGAAATAGCTTTGGCTGAGTGGTGAAAGCATGTCAAACCCAAGAAACACACTTGATGCTGGTAATGGAAGGTGCTTTTGGATATAAATCCTGGCTGGAATTTGCTGAAGAGTTGGACCGAGCACAGTACTGTGCTGTATTAAACTAGTTTGAGACTTAAATGAGAGAGAATGCATCATCTAAGAGACCCTTTTCCTTTACTGGTTTGCAGTAATAAATCACGGGGGTTCGTGAAGTCCACTGTATTACCTGGAGTAGGGTGCTTTGGGCAGTGTTGCTAAGGAACAGTGATTTGACTGACATGTGACTCTGCCTTATAGATAAGACGCTGTGTGTAATATAAATAGTCACCAGTGACAGTGGCCACTTCAAGGTGTGGGTTTGGTACAATCCAGCCAGCTCACAGCACACTCTGCTAATGCCCACATCAATCTGGCCAGGGTTTCTGGGGCAGTGGAACATGACACAAGGCCAGGGGCTGGGATTTGAGGGGTGACTTGCATTTGAAAACTAAAGGTACCTTTGCAAGTGCTTTTTTACTGAAGAATTGGTCTTGGGAGGGCACTTTTCTTGGGAGGGTCTTTCTCCTTGCTATTCCCACTGCTCCCTAGCTCATGGACTGCTCTTTCCCCTCTGTCCTCAGTGCAGGAAAAATGACATGAAACGTCTTCCTAGCAGGAGAGCCATGGAGTGCCCAGGGGGCATAACGGTCCCATCTCCGCCCGCCCCATTGGGATGCCTGTAGTTCGTGCAGCAAGTTGGGTGTGATGTGCAGGTCTTTCTAATCTCTGGGAAGTCTGAGAAACTCTTCTTTCAGAGGAATAAATGAACTGCATGAGCTTGCCTTAAGAGTGCTACTTTCAGAAAAGTCAGGAAGAGTTGCTTTCGTTCTGATCAGCCTCTTACTCAAAGGAGCCTGCTGGGAATGATAGGCCATTATATCTCCCCTAAGGCTTGTGCCATTCACTGGGGTAGCTAACTGCTTTAATTGAGTGGTATATGGAGTATTCTTGGCTGGTGTGACCTGGAAGTCTGATAGCTGTCAGCGTGGCTCAAAGCTCCTTCTGGGAATAGTGCATGCAAGTGTCTCTTTGCGACTTTCTTGATTAGTGTGTATGGATATTAAAACCAATTAGTTGTCTTTAAGGTCAGGGACTTATTTGACCTACCAGCATCCGTTTCAACTTGGCCTGAATTGAAGATCTTTGGAAGAGGGCCGTACAACTTCTGTAAAGAGGCTAATGAAGTGATGCTTTTTAAAGCACTTCCCTGCTGTCTCTGTAGCCCAAACACTTCAGGCAGGACGCTAGCGCATGACAATCTGAAACAGCAGCAGGCAGGTACCGTGTTACTCTTCTCCTACCGTAAGAAATGTAAAAGAGCAAAACCCTTTTTGTATGGCTGAAAAGCACTTTGGTCTCTGACTCAGAATTCTGAGTAGAGGTTTTTTCACAGAGCTTAGCTGGTTTGCCCTACAGAAGAGGACTAGAGGACACAATGATTTGATTTTTATGCCATTACTCTAATGTGAAGGATGAGGTCTGGGTTAAATTTGAGACAATGCAGAAGCAGCACTTCAGACGTGGGATACTTCAATGACAAATGGGAGGTACCTGCTGGCAGGCAGAAAGGGGCTTCCTCAGTTTTCATTTTAGCTTTGGATGGATTTGAACCATGAGGCTGCTTTGGGGATTAAGACCTCTGCAGGATCCACCCCAAAGCCATAGGAGAAATGAATATCAAACTCACTTTTTTATTTAACTTAAGCCTGTTCTTTGATTTATGGGGTCTTATCTCCTGACTCCGTGCCTGGGGTTGGCGCTTCTGAACTCAGTCATGTACTTAAGTACACTTTATTTAAAGCAGCTGCCAGAGTTGGTGAACTTCTATATAAAGCAAAGTGCTAGTGGGAAAGTAGGAAAGACTTAACTGCTACAAAAGGATCCTTCCAGCTCAGTTTTCTGTCTTAATCTGAGGAGAACAAAGTGTTAAAACAGCACTTGGGCTGGCTAGTGCTCCAGCTGTCTGAGAACAAATGGAATGGGCTTAAAAATGTCATTAAAGTATGTGACTGCATTGTTTTAAATAATCTGTGCTGGGGACTGCTTACATGCCTTTAGCTTGCAGCCCTTAGCCTGCATGTGCATTCTTTTTTGCAGAGTAGTATCCCAGGTTAAATGAACAGCCTTTGGAGGACTTGCTTGCTAGTGGCTAACCTGAAGACTTGGTCATGGAGACTGTTTTGTTTTCTTTTCTCTCCCATTACTGTCCAGCAGAAGGGGAATTATACCAGTAACAGTGAAGTGAAGCATCTTTGGGGGAGGAGGGAGGAGAGACAGCTGCACGCACGGAATATGGTATGAATACACTTACTGCTTTGGCTGCTGGCTGCTCACAACCCTTCTTTTTTCCTTTCTCAGCAATGGTACCAGCATGATATCGTTGATCATTCCCCCCAAAGACCAGATTTCGCGAGTGGCAAAAATGTTAGCGGATGAGTTTGGCACTGCCTCCAACATTAAATCTCGAGTGAATCGCCTTTCAGTACTGGGAGCCATTACATCTGTACAGCAAAGACTGAAACTCTATAACAAAGGTAACTTCTAGCTTGTGTGGATGCTGGCAAATTTCCCTTACTTGGAAGCAGCCTTAAGTTCCTGCATTATGCAGTTTTCTGCTAATCCAATCTGTTGTCCTGTGCTGCTGTTTTGCACTGATATTCCAGGTATGTTGCCCATGGATGGCTACTTCAGGGGTAGACCTTGGGACTAGGATAGTGAGATGGTCCTTGTCTTTAATAAGCAGGCTCATGATTCTGTCCTTAGAAGTGCTGACTATTCTAAACTTGGCCAGCCTTAGGGCTCTTCCACAATAGTTCATTTGCATTAAACTAGTAGTTTTCCATCAAGCAGAAACTTATGTATGCCTTATGCATGCCACTGTGCAGCTGCTATCGTTTTGGGAGGAAGTAGACCCAGGCCATCTAAAATGAGTACTGGAAAAGTGTTCATCCTTACTGTCTTTGCACTGGCAAGTGACCTTCATTGAGATGGTCAGTCTATGGATCGCTGTATAAGAACTAGGAATGTTTCACAGGGATGTTCAGCCTTTTTCTGGATTCTATGAGCTTGCAAGCTCATGGGTGTAACAGATAGGTACGTGTTCTTGCAGCTTGTTGCAAGTCTTTCCATCACTGTTACCTTTAGCTTCCTACTCTAAGCTGTTCAGTATAGGTGCACTAAATTAGTTAGTTTTTCCCGTTGTAGAGATATGGGAGGGAATGAGATGGGGGAAATGGAAAGTAAAAAACTTGGGAACTTCAATTTCAACTCTGCCTTAAGTCTCAAGGCCTAGTAGTTAGTTTTTGATGGGTACAGCTTGCAATATTTCTTAGTGATCTAAAATTGCATTGTGTCCTTTCTAGTACCTCCAAATGGTCTGGTTGTTTACTGTGGAACAATTGTGACAGAAGAAGGAAAAGAGAAGAAAGTCAACATTGACTTTGAACCTTTCAAACCAATCAATACGTCGTTGTATTTGTGTGACAACAAATTCCACACAGAGGTAAGAAATCTCCTATTGCCTGCTCGTTTTGCAGTAGTCCAAGTCAGACTGCTTTGCTAGACTCACTGGAACAGTCCTTGGTGTGCTTGAGTCCACAGGCTGTAGAACAGCATGCTTTAATTAAGACATCCTGCTGGATGGCTTGTGACTGGCTAGTGTTCAGCAATGTGTGATATTTGCCGAAAGCAATTGAGATACTGTCCAGATCCTACTACAGCTGACTTTACGGCCTAGCTAGTAACTGCTGAGTTTGTGTAACCCACAGACATAGGCTTTTCTCTGTAACTGGAGGGAGTTTTTTTATCTTAACCTTAGAGGCCCATAGATCTTAAGCCAGGCCTTAAAGTAACACCAAGATAATATTAGTGTTTCCAGTCTTGATAATCAGATGTGTGAACTGAGACCCTTGATGGAGAACTGGCACATGCTTAATCTGTCTGGGGTAAAGTGGGATTGTTTTTATCCAACATCTACTTACTTAGTTAAATGAATGGCTTAAGGCATATTTAAATTAATGTGGACTACAGTAGTCTTGACTGCATGAAGTCAGTTTATTGTGTCTAAGTCTGTTTTGGCTCTACTGGCAGTTGCAGAGGTCTCAGTGTTTGTAGTAGATGACTGACTGCCTTTCACGTGCTTGGTGTTCACCATGATAAATGTGTGGACTGAGACTTAATTGCCTGTCATCAAGCCCATATAGCGTAGGCTTGACAGGCCCTTCAGTGATGTAATTCTGCTTCTTTGCTTGGGTTTTTGGAGATCTCATCCATGATTGAGTTTCAAAGTGTAGGAGAACAGGAAGGAAAAGTATGCTTCATGCACAGGTGAGGTACAATCCTATTATTCTGTCTCCTCACCAAGGATGAAATCCCAATACATCTTTGACCTACCAGGAGTAACAAAACTGCGCAGAGGTACAGCTCTTGAGTTCTGCTGAGCCCACACGTCCATAGGCAATTGAAAGCAAGAGGTAAATAAGAATTCAGGAGAGCCAGAGGTGCAAAGCCAAGGGAGATATTTGTCCCTGCAGCTGTTGGCAGTGGGTGGACAGTGGTGAGTTGCCTTCTGCCCTATCAGGAAAGGGATTAATTTGGTTTTGGCTACAGCTGCTGCCTCAGGGCACTGATTCAATATAAAAAAAAGTAGGTGCTGCCCAGTGGGCTGTTCCCAGGAGGCAGCTGTAAATGCTCTCTTGCTGGTGTGTAGCATTGCTCAGCAAGAGAGTGGCAGTAACTTGAGAGGAATTTGTAATAATCGCTGCTACTGATGATGTGATTATTAACATCACCTTTCTCCATGGTCTGTTTGCTCTCCCGTGTCTTTTGAGTATGTGATTATTTTGCATGGTATTGTCTGCACTGCAGAATCAAATCTAGCTGTAAAAGCCTGCTATATGCTATCTTGAGCAACGAGATGCTGTTGCACTGAAGTCCTGATTTGTCTATCTGTCTCATTTGGCTGTAGAGCCGTGCTTTTAAACCAGTGTATTCCCCCAACATGCAAGCAGAACTCGGAAGATCAGGCTCAGTATATCAACAGATTTCCTATGGAAGTCAGAGCATGTCAAGGAGCAGAAAAAGGATGTGATCTTCACCTTTAGGCTGAAGCTGCAAAGAGGATACTCAGCCCAGGCTGAAGGAACAGATTGAAAGCAATAGTCCCTTTTCTGTGTTTGATAGGTCAAACAGTGGAATTGCTGACACAGAACTAATGAAGGGGAAACTGAGGGAGTCACTGATCTTTAAAATAAGAGGGAATCAAGAACATCAGAGCTGTAGTCATTTGCTGCCTGGCAAGAGTACCTGATAAGATTTCCTCTAGATATTTTATTGCCTGTGTGAAACCGAAGTTACTTCCCAAGAGGGATATGAACCCCGATGTGTGTCTGAAGGGTGGGATTTACAATGACTTATTTTGATACCTTGGCTGGAGCATTCATTCCAGTCACACGATTTGCTTGGCTCTGTCCCAGTTAAATAGATTGCAATGTAATATGCCATTTCCTCCTCTCATTCATCCCACTGCTGAGGAATTAATACAAAATATTTATTTTGGCTGGTAGATTCCATTAAACCTTAGTGTCTGTTTCTTTTAAGCTTGAAAACGGCAGACTTGGTTTTGTGGATTTTGGATGAAGATGACCAATGGTTTTTATCCTTTCCGTTCAGCCTAGTAATGAAGCTGGCAGGCATGTGGACAGTTAAAGGTCCTGTGCAGTAAACCAACACCATCACTCTTTCAGCATTAAGCTGGTGATCTGTAACTTGACAAGTTCTCCATCCTGCTGATGTGCTTTTGCCAGCCAGAAAGAGAATTCTTACTTTTACTTTTATTGGGCATGTATAAGTGAGCAGGAGTGTGTGTGTGTGCGCGCGCATGCGCTGAATGTGCCTCTCTGCTCAGGCTGCCCTGGAGGAAACAGTAGCTGACAGATTCCCTCAGAAAAGTAGTGTAAAATTGGGATACTTGTGAATGTCCCACACCACCAGAACCAGGGCTGGGGAGGAAATTGGACAAAAGTAACTCAAAAGCCTTGATACTAAGCAGATCTTTAATTGCCAGTCAACTTAAACGACCTTACAGGATTAATTTAGCTGCCTTCGTTAAAGGGAAGAAAATTGAAGGCTAACTTCATTTTCCATCAAATGTTATGGCTGTCTTCTCCATAGCCAGCTATACACAGGACAATTAATTGCAATTATTGCTGCTGTTATTTAATTCTGCTTTGTAAGGCTGAATTTGTCATAGCCACTATAGATTTCATCGTTCTACCTTTGGGACTTAAAGTCAGCAGCGGCAGCAGACCAGTATTTGTGGTAGTTGGCAAGTTGCAAGTCTGTACCAGTGCTTTGTAGTATCAAACTGAACTGAGAAATAGCCCAATCGATGAACTAAGCAAGTTCTGCTTTCCTGGCTGGGATGCTAGGAAAATTACTCTTCCAGTTTTGCCAACCAGAGGGGTGATGAAGCCTCCTAGAGGTGTGATCTGTTTCACTTTCCAGAGTTGATCTTTAGGGTTTTGCTATGACACCTGCCTGTGGCATCATATGATGAACTGATAATGCTGTGAAAATAGTTAGGAGCTTAAACATTCGTTTTCTTTCTGCTCTTGGCAGCATTGTGTGAGACAGTAATCAGGGGTAGTCTCAACTCCTGAATCTGCTGCCCTTCCTCTAGTTTATTTGTAAAAATAGCAATGACCACCTACAGAACTGAAATTTATTGATGTGTATTATTTCTGGTAACTTTTCTGAACCAGAGTACTAATAAACTGGTGCTTACTGCTGACAACATCATTTTCTGTTCCAGGCTCTTACAGCGCTGCTTTCTGACGACAGCAAGTTTGGCTTTATTGTAATAGATGGTAGTGGTGCACTCTTTGGAACTCTTCAAGGAAACACAAGAGAAGTCCTGCACAAATTCACTGTGGATCTTCCAAAGAAGCATGGTAACACACTAGTCTATCTCTATCCTGTTTGCAGCAGAATATTACAGGGTGGGATGTGAGGGGAGAAGCAGGGAACTTGGCCTGTAGGTGTTTAGTTTGACTCAATTATTTGCTCCTTTGAAATCTGACAGCAAAGCCTCTAGTCTGAGCCCTCTGTCAAAATTAATGAATCACTGTAATAAGCAGTTGATCTTCTTAAAGGGACACTTTTTATTTCTTGGTGCATTTGACCCTTTACTTGGTTTTGGGCCAGTCTTAACTAAATATTACTAGGACAAGTAGTAATGCCACTTGGTAGTGCCTTTAAAGTTTGCGCCTGATGATATTGCATGCAAACCACAGTGAAAAGCAAGAAGCTGTTCCTTGCAAGAAGCACAGAAGCTAATGGAGTAAGGAAAATTCTAGAACCACTATACAGTGCTGTATTGTAGTGAGCCACTGATGAATTCAGCAAATTGTCTGTTAGCTACTCCTGGCTTACCGTCCTTCTTTGTAGATGAGGATGGGACAAAATGAAATAGAAAGGTCTCCCCCAGTAAGTTTCTGCAAGGGGGTGCATTGCATCAGCAAGAAAAGTACGTGAGGCAGTGTAACAAAGGAAATTGCTTTTAATGAAGGTATAGGACATTGAAAATGTGCACAGATGTTCAAAATTTCTATCAAGTTGCGAGTCTGTATAAAAAGGGAAAAAAAAAAAAAAAGCCCTAACATATTTCCCTCTGTGGGATACATGGAGAAAAGTCTCTTGCTGTGGATGAATCCTCTTTATTCACTTGCTGTTTCAATGAATGCCCCTGGCTCTGCTTGTGGCAAACTAATGCTGAAGGCTGCATCTACCCTTGGCTTCAGTTATTAAGGGCCCAGTTGGGACCGTGTACTAACAACCTTCCTGAGATGAAATGACTTCCAAATTGCTACCTCACATCTGTTCTCTCATAAAGGTAGAGGAGGTCAGTCTGCCTTGCGTTTTGCTCGTTTGAGAATGGAAAAACGACACAACTATGTAAGGAAGGTAGCGGAGACGGCTGTGCAGCTCTTCATTTCTGGTGACAAGGTGAACGTGGCTGGTCTCGTTTTAGCTGGCTCAGCTGACTTCAAAACTGAATTAAGTCAATCTGACATGTTTGATCAGGTGAGTGGCCTTTTCTGAGGAAAGCCCAAATGTTTGAGCTGTCAGTAGTAACATGATTATATTAGTAGCAGCTCTGGTATAAGATGCATCTCAGGAGGAGCATAACTTTGGTACCTTAAGTGATTTGATCAAAACTAAAAATCTGATGTATCCTAAAGCGATCTCCTTTTCCTAATACCTCCTGCAAGGAGGTAAGATCTCCTTTTATTAATAACAGTGCTAATAAGAAATCTGTCCTCCCTGGTTTGGAACTAGCATTCACATTCTTTGTGTTCCCAAATCTAAAGTAGAAGCTTTAATGGAATTAAACTCCACTAAACTTAATCTCTGTCTCCCTGTTGCCTGAAAATTGTACTTCAGTATTAAGCATTCAGAGGTCCCTCTGACTCAGAAACCTCTGCTCGCAAGTGAAGCAAAATAGATTAATGCTGTGACTCTTGCCAGGTACTTATTCTTGTGGCATCATGAAGTAGTCTTATGGCAGTGCTGTGTAATAGACTCTTTTTCATGTCTGCTCTTCTTGTTCAGCGGTTGCAATCCAAAGTGCTCAAACTAGTTGATATTTCATACGGAGGAGAAAATGGATTTAATCAAGCCATTGAGTTGTCAACTGAGGTCCTCTCCAATGTGAAATTCATTCAAGAGAAGAAACTAATAGGTATGTAACTACGTGCTCGGCCTTCTCTTGAGCCAAATATACTTGACTGAATATGCTAATCTTGCTTTAAACTTCCTGGTAATGCCTTTGTGTGTCACTTCAGCCATGTGATGCTTTTCGAGTTGAGCAGAGCGTGACTTGTGATTATTTCTGTTACCTGGGCACCTTTTCAAATGCTACAGGACTTAATGAGACTAGCAGTGGGGATTGCCCACTCCTGGTGGAGTCAATCAGAGAAGGCAGTCAGAGATGGCCTTAGTTTTGGGCGTTCTGGTGACATGTGGGTGGGAGGGGAAAATACCTCCTCAGATTGTGTCTTCAGCATGATGAGAGTTAAGATTTATTTTGTTTTAAGAGGAAAATAGAAATGATCCCTTGTTTGACTGTCAGCAGACACGCGTTGCTAATTTGAAAGCACAAGAGGGCAGTAGTACGAGCGGCTACCTTGCACTGAAAAGAGTGAAGTGAGATAGTGCCCAATTGATCGTTTCGTAGCCTTCCAGGGGAGTGAGATGCCTGACGAGGCAGTATTTGATGGAGTTGACTTTCTGCTGCTGAGTGTTCTAAGTTACATGCTTTGACACGTTATCATATCACTTGCTTCCTTCAGCAGCCCTGCAGTCTCCTTCTCCAGTTTCTTCTTGCATTCAAACCAGGCTTGTTAAAAATCCATGTGGCACGATCAATGTTCATGCCAATCTCTTTCTTTGTTTCCTGGCTGCAGGACGATACTTCGACGAAATCAGTCAGGACACGGGGAAGTACTGTTTTGGCGTTGAAGATACACTAAAAGCTTTGGAAATGGGAGCAGTAGAGATACTGATAGTTTATGAAAATCTGGATATAATGAGATATGTTCTCCACTGCCAAGGCACGGAGGGTAGGTAGCACTTCTGTGAGACTGAAAGGTCTGTGAGGGTTTAACACTTAAGCCATCTCACTTGGGAAGATTACGCTGGAAGAACTCCCTAAGTAGATCTTTAAGGACTTGATCAAGGGAATGTTGTGTAGGCAGGTCACTAAGATGCAGCTTCCACTGTGGAGAAAGAATTGCAGTGCTGGGGTGGCAGTGTGTCACAGAGCTAGCAGGAAACCTGCCTTTCAGTTGTGTAAGCGTAAATGTGATACCAGTGCATTATAGAGGGGAGGCTGACCTGACCCTTAAAGCCAGAAACGCAATTTTCACTGACTATAGACAAACCATACACCTACAGCAGGACTTTGTCCTTTTTTGGTGTTGGCACTGCAGTGTTTCTCTAGTGGTGTGCCTTGTTCAGTTTCCCATAGAGCTTCACCTAGAGAGGAAGGCAGTGTCAATGACCAAACTCTCTTTGTTGGAACCTCTGGCTGTTGTCAGTTTTGTCTTTAACGTGCATCTGGTAGTCTTACCCAACCTGGTATTTTTTTCCTCTCCCTTTTCAGAAGAGAAGATCCTGTATTTGACACCAGAGCAAGAGAAGGATAAATCCCACTTCACAGATAAAGAGGTATTTCAGCTTTGGGGCTTGTAGATTTGTTCTCAGTGTACTGGTGCAGCATTCTGAATATCTGAGCTTAGTTTGTCATGAGCATGATGACCTTCCTGGCACTCAGATGAGACTTCAAGACAGAAGCCTTTGGCTCTTCCTGTTCACCTTCAATGTAACCCCTGGATCCTACACTTATTTTCTCCAGTCTTTCCTGCTGCCAGTTTCAAGATTGTGTAAATGAGCTGAAGTGACAGGCAATATGGGGTCTTTGAGCACCATCATACCATCCACTAAAAGAGTTTGGTAGCCACCGTGCAACGCACAAGCTAACGTCCCAAACCATTACTGCCTGCTTATTGTGTGCTGATTTGATCAATACCAAACAACTGGGAGGCTAGAAACTATTATATGGATTTAAGTGCAAGGGAGTACTTGCTTCTAGATATATTTGAAATGCGGATCTGTCATTCACTGCCTGTGAGTTTCTTGCCTGTGAAGGTCAAAAAAACCTGACTTTGGGGAGTGGGTGGCATGTCTGTATTAATTTGCAGGGTAAGTTGGCCAAAAAATGTCTGTCCCTTGCAAAAAGGGTGGTCATCTTTGTATTGTATTAGAACTGCAAGGGTAGCTGTTTCCAGCTGCTTTCCCTCCTCATCAGGTAATTGCTAATTCCTTCTGTGCACAGGTTTACAATGTTATCTACAATGATGTGGTGTTTCTATGCCAATAATCACTTGACCTTCTACTTACAAAACTGTTCTTTGCCTCTATATTTGCCTAGATCAGTATTTCCTAGAGCAAACAGTGCCTGGATAGGTGAGTGACAGTGGACTGTTTGCAGGGTATAAAGTGAATCTAAAGAAACAGTGAAAACTGAGTGTAGCATGAGGTGACAGTTGAGCAGAAGAAAAAACAAGGCATTTTCTCTCCTGCTTCTGTAGTACGGAGGCCCAAAACAAGGCCTGTCAATATTTAATTACTTAGCACCAGGAGCCTTCCGCTCATGCCAGCGTGTGTCTGATACAGATGTGTCAGGAGTGCCTACCACCTGGACCCTGGCAAGTGTGTTGGACTGCTCCAGCCTGCGGAGCATGAAGGCTGATGTCTTTGTCTTAGGACTGAAAAGACAGTGGTGATGTTTAAGCCAAAGACAACTTTTGGTATGAATTTTCTCAATACCTAACATGCAGTGACCATAACCCTTTTTTTAATAATTTTTTTCCCCCCCTCAAATGTCTACATAGACTGGCCAGGAACATGAACTCATAGAAAGTATGCCCCTTCTGGAGTGGTTTGCAAACAACTACAAGAAATTTGGAGCAACATTGGAAATTGTTACAGACAAATCACAGGAAGGATCCCAATTTGTGAAAGGATTTGGAGGAATTGGAGGTAAACTGCAAGAGAAAAATGTGTTTCTCTTTTTTTTTAATGGTTGATTTTATAATCTGGTGCCAACACAAGTGGAAAACTAAACAAATTAATCTTACTCCTATTAGTCACGATGCCAATTTAGGAAACTAACATGTTCATCAGGGATATCCAGGTGAATTTATTCCATATTCAGCAAGATGATGCTGCATGGTAGGCAGCTGTCACTTCAGCCTGTGTTCCCCAGATCCCTTTGTCCTTCAGAGTGCTCAGAGGGTGGACTGTTGTCCTTTCCATCTGCTGAATTTCAGAGGGCTGTGAGCTGCTTCCCTCTGTCTCTGCACAGTTGTTGTTTTGTGGCAGACCATGCCCTGCTGCGTAGAAGTGGTGTATGACAAACACAAGCCTCGTTTCTGAAGCAGTTGGATATCTGTTACTCATCTCTCAGAACTTCCCTATACTTTGCTCCCTGCTTCTTTCCAAAAATAAAAGTATTTTTAGCCCAACTTCATGGAGAATTGAGGCTTCCGAAATCCTTCAGTTCTTCTCTTGAGCTCACTGACAAGTTCCAGCTAAGTCTGGCAGAGGTGCAGATAGCTCATGTGCTTCAGGCTAACAAAAGTCATTAGCAGGGCAGAGCAAAAACACTTTCCATGCACCTTGTTCTCCCCAGACTAGGGATTCCAGGACAAAGCTGGGAGCCAACAGTTGCCACTTACTGTGTTTAGGTTGTTGTAAAATAGAGATGAGTGTATTATAATGAGAAATTTCTAGGGGCCAGAGAACACCAGTCAGAAGGAAATAAGCTTGAATTGTTTGGCTACATGAAAAGCAACAGGTTTCTAAGTCTTCAGGGTTTATAATTTCAGGAGTCCTTCCTGTCCTGCCAGATCCAGCCTCTTTGCATGGTGGGATACTCTTTGCTACCATGTTCCAGTCCCCGAAGTCTTGAAAGGACTTGAAATCTATACCCTTCACCTAAGTAAATGTTTCCAGGGATAAAGGCTTCCCTGAGACCCAGGTTGGTGTTTAAAGTGGGAGGAGTCCAGGAAGACAGCCACTAAATACTGCTTTTACTCCATTGTAAAAGTTAAGCTGCCTTCTGAATTTACCTGCTAGAACTTTGCCTGGGCAGTTATACCAGCACACATGGTCTGTTACTGGTATTTTTTTGGAGATACGGTCCTCCTGGTGTAGACTCAGCTTTTCCAGAAGAAAGCTGGTCTATGCTGGGCAGGTAGGTTTTTATTCCTCCTGTCAATGAATTATTTTGGGCTGTAACGTGGAGTGGCATTTTCTGTCTAGCTGCTTGTCTGCTCTCAGTTGTCAGTTTGAGCAGAACTTGCAAGACAGGTGCTAAGTCAGCTTCTGCAAATTGAATTGAGGAATTCTACACGTGCAGAGAGAGCTCAGTAAACTGCTTAAAATGCCTTTCTAGCTTTTTGAATAAGCTAAAGCATGTTGTTTTTACCAGGTATCTTGCGGTACCGAGTGGACTTCCAGGGAATGGAATATCAAGGAGGAGACGATGAATTTTTTGACCTCGATGACTACTAGGTAGTCGACCTGGGTCCGGCAAAACGTGCCTCGCCCCTCCAGCATCCAACCCAAGGAGCAAACTCATGGTGGAAAACACAACAGATCCCTGCCTTAGAATTGGAACATTTCCAGAACTTTATCCACAAGCATTGGATTTAAAAAAGCGAAACCCTACACTTCGATTTGTCATCGTGTCAGTACAGCAGCAAACTACTAAGTTCCTATATGCCACTTTGGACTAATTTAAAAAGAATCCCAGTTTTTACTTTTACTCAATGGTGAAATTGGTTGCTCTTGTATTTTATGAAAATGATTTTTTTAACCTTCATGATACATTAACTGCTGTAAACCTCCTCCTTCAAAAATTAATAGAAGTAAGATCCTACTGGTTTGTTTCTTTTTACTTTGGAGAAATCAGTTGCTGCATTTTGCAGCAACGTGACCCATTTACATGGCATTCTCAGCTTAGACTGCAGAAGAACTGTAACAAAATTGGACCTATTCATTCTCTTCTAAAGAATGAGAAGGCACTTACCTAGAGTGCTAGCTTATAATTTGTGGCTTAAAATTCCGATGGTTTGGGGAGGCTTACCAGCCAAACGTGCTTTAATCTATTTGCAGAAGCACTGCTCTTACAAACTAGGAAATGCACTTCATTGATTGCAATGGAAATGCTGCTGAAGTCTTGGCTTAATTTGGATTTGAGAGGTGCAGCCTTCAGGAGTTTTTTTTTTTTTCAGTCGTGACAAAAATAAACAGACGATTTAAGTGAAGTAAGGTACACTTTGCTTTGTTTTGTTCATCAGTAAGTTTTTCTTTTTGCTTTAGGACTGCGTAAGGTTTCCTTGATTATGTGAATTTGAACCCACAGTTCTTGAATGGAAGCGGGTGTTTTACAGGAATAATTAGTAAGTGGAGTCCTTGACTGAAACCTCAGTACTGGTGCATTTGGAGCGTTTGATACTGGTGTGTTGAGTGTTAGCACAGCCCGCTGAGCACATCCATCTCCCAGCACTAAGGCAGTCTGGTGTATTGGCTCACAAATGTCCTGTAAATCTGATGCTGAGCTCTAACGTGCCCTTAAAGGGTGAAAACTTCTGGTTGCATCAAGACTCCAAAAAGCTTTTTGTCATGCCTGCTATATAGAATGCATCTCAACCTCCTAGAAATGGCTAAGGGTTTTTCAAAGGGTCTTGCAGGCAGAGGGTGAAGTGAACATTGGCACAAGGTATAATGCACAAGTCTTGCTTCTTTTGGGGGTTTACTGGGTTCTCTGATGGGCGCTCTGACATCATGGTGCCTGGTCGCTCTGTTCTTCACCGGCTGTGTCACTCCCAGTGCATCAGTCAAAAGCAGCTTCTGGTCCAAGTTGCGTACCTGCCTGTTTTTCCGATAATCCTGTTTCGCTTGAACGGAGGGAGAACTTGTCTTAAAACTTTTGCCACGCTGTTCTTTGAGGTCCAAAATTACTGTCATTCTGAGCAATATTAATTTGTAACCCTGGTTCCTAACCTGGCAGATGGCTTTGCTGTCGTTTTCACATCAAAGCTGGAATCTCTCATGGAAGGTGTGACTGGGTCCGCCGTAGACTTGGGCAAACCCAGGTTTGAGCACATTTGCGGTCTTCACAGCAGTATGTTCTGGATTTTGCCATTGTAAATGGGTCTAATGTGACATGACAAGACCAGAAAAATTGGATGTAAATTTACATTTTTGAATATACTGCTTGTTTGTTTCACATGATACATTAGGGTATGCAGCTCCTTTTTTGTAGTTTTTATTTTTACTATTTAAGTTTGGAAATGATGCCAAATTTTTGTATTTCTTTAATCAATGTGTTCTCTTCAGTGATATATATTGCATTATATATTGATGTGTATATCAATATATACTGATATGTATTACACTTACACATACAAACACGTTAAATGGGGGTGAAAAATCCTAGCCTTCGCATACTATATAGCCTCTGCAAAGAGATCCCAAGCAGTGATATCTTGGTGTTGTGATGTACAGAAATGGAGAAGAGTATTAAACCATATTTAAGAATATAGTACAGCCTCCTGATTTATTTCCTTTGGTCCAAGAAACACTTGCATTACTCTCAGCTCGGTGCCAGCTTCAGGTCAGTGCTTGAGTTTTTGAGGTAGGTATTTCACAGTTGGGCTTGAGAACATCATGTTTCTTCATCAAATTGAGCTGCTGTTTTAAACTCTAGCACAAATCTTAACTTCAGAAGGGAGGAAAAACCCAGCAGCACAAGTTTCACACCTGGACTTGGAAGTGGTGTTGCCATGGGGCACGCATCGCCACAGCTGGCAAGGAGGCTCGTGTGAGCGGTTGTAGCAGATTCTCAGCTTCTGCTTGTCCGAATGCATTGTTTTCTTGCCCCAGGGAGCTTCAGGTCTTCTAAATGCCTCAACTCCGCGTGCCTCACACCCTCGGCAACACCCGTGGAATTTTTATTTTGTGTATGGTAAGTACACACCGCACTTACTGCATCCCCGGTTTGGCTCTGAGCTGGCACTGCAAGCTCAGATACTCCGATAATGCTCATTTTATACACTGCTTTTTTGTATAGCTGTAATTAAAGACAGAATTTGCCCTTTATAACTTGTTATTTCGGGAGCTGGAGCCCGGCCTGCGCTGTTGTTGCTACCAGGCTGCAGATGCCATTGTCCTGGGAAGCTGAGCGCAGCCGGCAGCGCTGAAAGGCAGCTCTGGAATTTCACTCCGCTATTTTTAGGCAGTGGTGAAAAACTGCACTTCCTACACTTCTGAGTCTTTGTCAGCCCTTAAACAAATCAAAGGGCAAATCCTGACTTATCGCTAATGAACAGGACAAGGGGGTGACCTGGAGCTGCTGCAGAGGCTGAGCTGGTGTGAAGGTGAAGTGTGGGTGTGGGGACAGAGCCCCAGCTCTGCCTGGCTGGAAGGGGAAGGGGCTTTGAGGGTGGTGGGACATAGCTGCACAGCCTCAGGTGGTCTGTGGCTGTTGCTATGCTGGGGTGGCTCCCAGCTCCTTGCTCTTCTCCCCATGCCCCTTTTGGGGTTGGTCACCTCCTAGGTGGCCAAGAAGGCCAGCAGCATCCTTGACCTGTATCAGCAATAGTGTGACCAGCAGGACCAGGGCAGTGCTGGTCCCCCTGTACTGGGCACGGGTGGGGCTGCACCTCAAGTGCTGGGTTCAGTGTTGGGCCCCTCACTCCAAGAAGGACATGGAGGTGCTGGAGCGTGTCCAGAGAAGGGCAACGGAGCTGGGGAAGGGTCTGGAGCACAAGTGTGATGAGTTCATGGCTGAGGGAACTGGGGTTGTTGAGCCTGGAGAAAAGGAGGCTGAGGGGAGACCTTCTGGCCCTCTCCAGCTCCCTGAAAGGAGGGTGCAGAGACGTGGGGGTGGGTCTGTTCAACCAAGGAACAAGTGACGGGACAAGAGGAAATGGCCTCAAGTTGCACCAAGGGCAGTTGAAATTCTCTCCTGAAAGGGTTCTGAGGCATTGGCAGGGGTTGCCCAGGGCAGTGGTGGAGTCCCCATCCCTGGAGGGACTGAAGAGTCATGTAGACATAGTGCTGAGGGACACCCTCCAGGAGGACCCACCCTGGAGCAGTCCATTCCTGAAGGACTGCACACCATGGAAAGGACCCACACTGGAGCAGTTCATAAAGAACTGTAGCCCATGGGGAGGACTCACATTGGAGAAGTTTATGGAGGACTGTTGATGTGGGTGGGACCCCACACTGGAGTGGGAGAAGAGTGTGAGGACTCCTCCTGAGGAGGAAGAAGCGGCAGAAACAACATGATGAACTGACCACAAGCAGCATTCCCCATCCCCCTGTGCCGCTGGAAGGGAGGAGCTAGCGAATTTGGGGGTGAAGTTGAGCCTGTGAAGAATGGGGGGAGGGGGGGGAAGATGTTTTAGTTTTTATTGCTCGTTACCCTACTCTGATTTGATTGTCAGTAAATTAAATTCATTTTCCCCAAGTCAAGTCTGTGTTGCCCGTGATGGTAATTGCTGAGTGATCTCTCCCTGTCCTTATCTCGACCCACAAACCTTTCGTTGTATTTTCTCTCCCCTGTCCAGCTGAGGAGGGGAGCGACAGAGCAGCTTTGGTGGGCACCCAGTGTCCAGACAGGGTCAACCCACCACACTCAGCAAGCAAGCAGGGAAAGGTTTACTTTAAGGTCATCTCTGTTTAAAGAAAGGAGTTTTGTTTGTATTTAAATAGCGGTTTGCTTAGTGCTTAGCTTACACAGAGGTGTTTTGGAGTCGTCCACAGGAGCTCTGCGTGGGGACAGGCGATGGGGACGGGCAGAGGGGCCACTCATGCTCCTGGAGCCAGTTTTCATTAAGAAAAAACTCCATTTCTACACTGCAAGGAAGCTCCTGCTGACTCAGTGCCTGAGGAACGCGGCAGGTAACCAGCCAAAAGGACGACGTTGGTGCTTTGCATGTGAGATAAAGCACCGGGACTTTCCGTTGGAAACACGAGCGTCAGAGGTGTAGCAAGCACTTGTTGTAAGCTGAAGTCGGCCGCCTTTGCTCAAGCACCACTTGGGAGCCAAGAACATATTTCTGGAGGGTGCGGAGGGAAGGGAGAATGCTCCAAACCCACGTCACGGGTGGCAGCAGGCCATCAGGACACCTCATGTACCTCTGTGCTGGGGTTTCTGCCGTCATTCCCCCGGTTCCGTCACACATCTGATGTGCCCGCTCTTTTTCCTCACTGCTCTGCCTTTCGCCACACCAACTTCTAGACTCTGCTTAACCTGCTTATTTTATTATGCTGGGATGGATTTGGGTGGCACCTGTGACTGAATGAATCTGAAACACCTCCCTCCCGCGTCCTCTGTGCATCCTGGCTGTCACCAAGGTCTGCGCAGTTCTCCCGAGCACATTTTGGGATGGCAAAGATGTGCTTTGCAAAGCTGGGGAGGCCGGGGGACTGTGCTTCTGTAGACCAACCATTGTGCTTCCATCTCAAGATGAGCCTTGCTGCGCTTCAGGCTGGTTTGGTTTCATCCTGGGTCATGCCCGCTTGCTAAAGCAGCTCCAGGAGGAACATCCTGGGGGTGTAAGGAGGGTGCTGAGGGGGAACGTGCTGCATGTGGTGTTGGTGAGGAGCATCAGGAGCTACCCCCCGTCAGCAGCTCAGAGCTGCTCCAGCGCAGCAGGAGATGCTTCATGTGGAATGGGCAGATCCCATGGCGCTGGCTCTGACAGCTCATTAGTTTTTCTGTAACATCTTATTTATCTCGCATATATCAGAGCTTACTTATGGGGAATGCAGGGGCTGGGTTTGAAAGAGACTGGTGCAGGTGGGAGGTGAGTGGAGATGGTACTGGGACAAGCTCCTCTGCTGTGAGTATAGCTGAGGATAATTTAAATCAAATGTAAATTATTCTCCTGCTCTTTTCATTGCTGAGGTGGAGATCCTCTCACCCCACGGGCGCAGCCCCCGGCATGTGCTGCTCTGATGTGGTGTGGTTTGAGAGGTCCCCCCGTGCCACATCACCTGCTCTCTCATCTCCCACAGTACACGGTACCAGGGAAATCAAAGAGCTGCTATAAATACATAGAAGTACACCTGAGACTCGGCAAGAACTGCTATTCCTAAGCCTCCGTCTGCACAAAGCTGCGTTTCCTTTGGTGTCTGGCCAGAGAGGGGGTGTGGGCTCTCCAGGGCTCTGCTTTGCGGTAGCTCAGGGGGCTCCCAAGCAGGCTGGGTGCCAGCTGGGACAGCAGGATCCGAGGGGAACCCCGGGGCACTAATCCTTCCCAAAGTCCGCACAGTTGTAATATGTGGTAAAAAATAACCTGGAAATAAATTCCAATTAAGACCAACAAAAGGGCTGGGGCTTTCCTTTCACTTGCAAAACCAGCGGGTGGTTTAAACCCTGTTTGTCTGGTGCTGGGAATAAAGACCTTGTGTGGGAATTGCTTTTGTTCT